AGCCTTGAAACCGTCGGTAACCATAAAGACGACTTCGGGGCTTTCCATGGGATAGTTGTCAGAGAATCGGAAGCGAAGGGCAAACTTTTGACCCTGATAGAGGCTGTTTCCGAGCACCTGTATCGAGAATTGCCATTCGTCGAGATCTTCCGCCTTGATGATTGCACAGCCTTCGGGTGGGCCTTTGAGTTTCATCTCGGAGCTGATATCGCGGTGAGGGATGGAAGGAAGCAAGAGCAAATGGTGTAAGCGCAATATCTGCATTGGGAGATGAAAAGTCGGCAGGTGGGTTCGACTTACAGCTCCTTTTGGAGACGCTTGGTAGCGATCCTCATTTCTGCAGCTACTTGAGGAGCACCAGGCACCTATTTGAGCGCTTCGACGTCTCCGTTGTTTTCTGAGAGAGAGAAGAATGAGGTTGAGAGGTGGATATGATTGGGTTTAGGATGGTGGTTGGGGGAGGATTATGTGGGGAACGCGAGGTGTTGAACACTTTCATGCAGCTCTACAGCACTCTCTCCACTCTCGAAAAAGCTGAGCCTTAAAATTGCGTGGAGGCTTCGAGATTTAAAGCTAGATCGGCCAAGTTGAAATCGGGCTTCTAATCGAGATTTCAGCTGCTCCACATTTCGTGGCGTCGAGGATTTGTGTGTTCCTCTTTCCTCATCAGCATACCATTCTCCGCATCTCATCCGTCCATTCCAGAGCACATCAGCATCCAAGTACCTCTGATTCAATCAAACGTAACTCCCAAAGCCCACTTTTACGACTTTAGCAGCATTCAAACCGGACCGGTCAACCCGGCATTCATCTACCTACTCCTGCTGAGGAGCGCTCATCAACTCTACGCTGGATCAACTACAGCGCACCCTCTTCGCCTTTCTGCCTCCGAATCTCTCAGTAGGCTCGCTGGCTCTTCATACCACCGTAGACCGAGGACTTTCCTGCGGCGATGCCAGACCAAACCGACAGCCCGCCTCACGGCGCATTTATCGCGGTCGATCACAGAGGCATCCCTGTACATGGATCCATGCTCGGTATCGACGGCTCATCTGGAGATCCAAGCCTCGAGGCGCTCAACATGTTTCTGCGTATGCCTTATCCCGGTGACGCACGCACCAGTCCAGCCGCACGCAAACACGAAAACACTCATAGCGAAGCCCAAAAGAAGAAACGCGAGGAAGACGAAGCCAAGCTCGGAGCCATCTACGAATCTTTCAAATTCGATCCTTTGTGGGCCAAGCTGAGCGATGTGCTGTCAAGGATGAAAAATGATCCCGGCGCCGCCCAGATCATGCTACCTTTAATCGAGGGTATGATGGTCGTATCGCAGCATGTAACCAATCCGGATCCCGAAGCCTCCACCTCTGCATCCACCACCGACCTGAGACCACCGTTGAGTCGCTCTTCTACTCAAGCTACACCCAAGACGCGTAGGGAAGTCATGGAAGACAACTTTTTCGCCTTTACAGAAAAGCACCGCAAGATCCTCAACATCATGGTACGGCAGAATCCTGCCCTCATGTCCGGTTCCTTTGCCATGCTCGTCCGCAATCCAAAGGTGCTCGACTTTGACAACAAGAAAAACTACTTTACCCAACAGCTCCACAAGGGTCGCCGCGATCACTATACACCACTCTCGCTCTCAGTGCGTCGAAACTCGGTCTTTGAGGACAGCTTCCGCTACTTTTCCAGAAAGACTGGCCCTGAAGTCAAGCACGGAAAGCTCAACGTCCGTTTCAACAACGAAGAGGGTGTCGATGCCGGAGGTGTCACCAGAGAGTGGTTCCAGGTCTTGGCGAGAGCCATGTTCAATCCAGACTATGCGCTATTCCAGCCGTGTGCGGCGGATCGCACCACATACCAGCCAAACCGCATGTCCTACGTCAACCCCGATCACCTCTCCTTCTTCAAGTTTGTCGGGCGCATCATCGGAAAGGCGATCTACGATGGTCGTCTGCTCGACGCCTACTTTACTCGAAGCTTCTACAAGCACATCCTCGGCAAGGCGGTCGACTATCGCGATCTTGAATCCATCGACCCAGAGTATTTCAAGAGTCTCGAGTGGATGCTCAACAACGATATCACCGACATTCTCGATCTCACCTTTAGCGTCGACGACGAAGAGTTTGGCGAGACCAAGGTGATCGAGCTCAAGCCCAACGGCACCAACATTGCCGTCACCGAATCCAACAAGCAGGAATACGTTCGCCTCGTCACCGAACAGAGGCTCACCAAGTCGATCAAATCCCAGATCGACGCCTTTCTCGACGGATTCAACGAGATCATCCCCGCCGACCTCATCCGCATCTTTTCGGAACAGGAGCTCGAACTGCTCATCTCTGGTCTGCCCGATATCGACGTGGATGCGTGGAAGAGCAACACGGAACTGCACGGCTACAGTTCTGGCGATGCCGTCATCCAGTGGTGGTGGCGTGCCGTTCGATCGTTTGACCAGACCGAAAAGGCCAAACTGTTGCAATTCATAACCGGAACGAGCAAGGTGCCGCTCGAAGGCTTTGCCCACCTCCAAGGTGTTCAAGGCACGCAGAGATTCAACATTCACAAGGCGTACGGAGCAGACCGGCTTCCTGCGGCACATACCTGTTTCAACCAGCTCGATCTGCCCCAGTACGATTCGTATGACAAGCTGCGATCCAGCCTGCTCCTCGCCATGAACGAAGGTGGCGAAGGTTTCGGATTCGCTTAAAGTCACGACTAGGGAGCATTGTCGACTTGGTCGCAGAATCGGATGAGCCCTCGCATGATCGAGATGGCTCCTGATCTGTAGCCTCCTTTGAACATGAGCAAATCTACAGCATATCGTATTGGTTATCATGTCACCACAGTGGGTGTTAGTCCGGGTCTCGCGTGTGATGGGCGTACAAAAGGGCGGGGAATTTGTGTAACACTTACGATTCAAGCTGCAGTCAGTGGTAAGATGTTGAGTCATCAACGACCGAATGGTGGGAATTTCCGTCAGCCTTATCGCAGGTTCCTCCTCCTCCAACCAAACTTGATATCGGGGAAAACTATTGCAGGAAGGATACACTTACTGATGATACAACTCGTACGAACGTAGCCTCTCGTCGTAGTAAGGTTCGATTTTGGGTAGCACCGAATGGTAGGCTTGGAAAAAGTCTTGAGTGAATCCTCCAAACATGTTCATGATTCCTAGTCTGAATCGTGAATGTGCGATACGTGAGCAATGTTGTTTCTTGTTATCGAAAGCTAGTTTTGAAGGTGATACTTACTCTGCTTCGTTGTGACCGTAGTAGCTCGAGCTGGCGTGCGTGTATTTAGGGTATGGACAAGGTTTAGGTTGGAACTGGCTGTTCGATGGTTCTGAAGAGTAGCCCTGGAGAGGTTGTTGACTTACGGACTACGAGATAATGGGGGGGAGAGTTTTCGAATCAAGTCAGCGAGAGGGTTTTGGTGGACTTGGAAAGCGTCTCTGAACAGGTTTCTAAAACTCACTCAAAAATGGCTGGTTCGCCGGAATCGATCACTGTACCAGCGTTGCCCGACCTAAGTGTTGATTGCACAAGAAAGATGTTTGCGTGGTGAGTATCCATTGCGGTACGCCAGAGCTACTCTTGGACGAGGTATACTCACCACAAGTCTCCGTGTAAGATGCTCGGCTTGACCTTGCCTTCGAGCGGAGCGAGCAATACCGGGTATACCCTGCACGTTGAAAGTTGGTATCATGTCAGTAATCGCTGCTGCTCCCGTCGGAACGAATCGAGTGTGACTTGATGACGAAAAGATACACACTTGTCTCGCATCTGTCTTTCGAGCTCGTCGAGTTCTGCATCGGGTTGATTTGCTTGAATCCGTTTCACCAGGTCACCTATACGTTGGTCAGCCCAGAACTTGGGCCACGATGTATTCCAGCTATTGTCTTGCCGCTACATCCCCCCTCGAACCATCCGAAATCAAGGTTGGTATAAGTAGCTGGACGCATCGCCGTACAGGAGGGTCCTCAAAAAAAACAAAACAAGGCTGAGTAGGATCAGTGCTGAAAGGGGTTCAACTCACAGTGACGCCGCAGTACGTGGCCACGTGAAATCCGAATCGCCCATCTTTGTTGCTTCCGTTCTTGTGCATCTCTGCGAGTCTTGTACCCAGCGCCTTTTGACCGGCTTTACCGATCGAAGGCTTGAGATCGAGATAGTCTGTAACGAGGTATGCACGGTCGTCGGCAGTTTTGCCTGAAGCATGTACCTCGGGAACCAGATTTCGTATTTCGCCAGTGTTGATGGACAAACCCATGGCGCGAAGACTCTCCGCTTCACCAATGGTCTGTTCCACCGCACTTTCGATCTTGGAAAAGAGCTTCCGACCAGAGGGATGTGCTACTACAACGTGCGAGCCACCGCGTGAGCCAAACGACGTACCGAGATGCGAGCATTCGCTCCGGAGAATCGCATCAAGCGTCTTGTCCAGCGTCATCGTATTGCTGTTGCTTTTCCTGCTGGAGGAGTTTGGAGTCTGATCTCTGTGCTGAGCGAGGAGTGACGAAAAGATCTTCAGGTCAGTTTTGGATAGAGAGAGTTAAGATGGACAGGACGTTGATCGACCTTGAAGATGGATGTCCAGGTCGTCGGTTGTGATGATTCACAGACCATCTGAACCCTGCATATCCGGCGTCTAAGCTCCACACTCTGTCCAGCTGTGCACAGACTTGTCAAAAATAACATCCCGTTCCCCCGGCTTCGAACGCACCATGTAGAGCGAGCCATACGAGATCACCGGGCTGGTCACGGCGGTACTGTAATTGAGCCGCCCATTTGGAGATTAAGTCCTCCTGGTGTTATCTTTGGCCATCATCATGGAAACAGCAGCGTATCACATCACCGTGCAAGGTTGTACGAGGAAGTGAAGAAAAAAAAAAAAAAAAAAAAAAAAAAAAAAAAAAAAAAAAAAAAAAAAAAAAAAAAAAGGTAAAAAAAGGAGGAAAAAGAAAACTGAAAAGAAAAAGGGAGTAAAAAAAAGGTGAATGGAGTCGTGGGGGATTGAACCCCAGACCTTCTCGAAGTTTGAACAATTTCGCTGATGCAAACGAGACGCTCTGCCACTGAGCTACAACCCCTTTCATGTACAAGCATCGCTTTATAATAAATATAATCACTGGAAATTTGGCTTTGCATAAAACCCTGGCATTTCCACCATTCTCTGACTCAATCTCCAAGGACGACATCAGAGTTCAAATCAAGAATCTGATGGAGCATGCATCGGTAATCGAGCTCTAGAGTTGCTATGGACCTCAGACGTGAATGTTCCCAGCTAATTGTTCGATCAAATATCTTATTGACTGATGGCCAGTTAGGTATATTGCCTGCCAACCGGATCACCATCGGTAGCGTCCTCTGGCGATCGCAAACCTTATGTCTCGCTCGACGATATTTGTCGAAGACGCCGCTGGGATGACCTCTCATTTTGGAACCTGCACAAAATCAAGCACAACCGGAATGCTTTCTTGTCGCTGAAACAAACAGATCTTCATACTGCTAGGTTCTTGTCACAGTTCTGTAGATCTACGATAAGAGATCAGATTCGTGCAGCACAGATGCTTCCAGCACAGCTAATAAAATCGCCAACAGACTCTTGACGAAACACTGATATTCTGTCTTCACTTGTATCGAGCTTGGGGCAAGCGATTCTTTGTCCGAGACGCTTCCCTGACTGTTGCTGTTGATCAGATCTGGTTGCATCTTGCCTACTCCTGGAACCTTGTATGCCAGTCTTGAAGCTGAACATGGATTGTGACTGAAGCGGGTCGAGCACCTCGTACCCATCTTTGAAAATGATGGACTGATAAAGGGAAAATCCCAACGGCCACTAGTTGGGTGCTGTCTCCATCCCGTTGTCTCCAAATTGTGACATAGTTTTTGGGAATGCCTTTGATGTCAAAATCGGTGCGTGAATGGGTCAGAAAGTACGGCTTGTCGTGAAGCTTGATTTGCCACATATTATTACGATGGGAGAGACTCGTGCGCAAAGCCTCGACCAAAGCATTCTTTTCCTGCTTGGTGCTGAATCGAGCCTCGTCTCCCAAGCCCGCCTCCTTCAGGTGGCGATTCACACTCTCCTGAAGCGCAGATCCTAAGCCTTCCTCTGGCGAGTAGGAGACTGAGGTAACCAACACTACTCTGTCTGGGTCTTCGGCGACTGCAAGTCTTCGAGGGGTGACCCGTTGCTTGAGACCGTTGCCATTTTTCTGAACGGACAACAACCATGTATTATCAACCCAACTTCTGACTGCGTGGATGTCGTAGATCGCATTTGGAGATGCCTCCACTAGTTTATTCCAGTATTCGCGTCGAAAGTTATATGCACCGCGACTTAGCATGAATGCCTCAGCACCATCCGTCTTGAGTTCCCAGACCAAGACAGCGGCTCCATCCATGTCAGGAAATAGGTAGACTACGTGGGAAAGGTGAGAAAGCAGAAACCTTTTGCTCCCAAACGAGACTTCAACGAACGACGCTATCGTCGTCAGGTAGTGTGTTGCGTGACGGAGGAAGGCTTCGGCATTGACTATGGCTTTTGGTACATCTTGACGGCGCCCGCCAGCGCGGACGGAAAGTACTCTGCTTTTGAGATCAGTAATCATCTCTGTTGTCTGTTTGTCCTGCTGGTAACCGATATGAAGTGGTTTGTTCGCCATTTCTAGTGGATCTACACTAGAGAGCTCGCCAATCGGAAAATGATTCGAGTCCGTGACGAGTTTAGACATTTGCTGCTGCTCCGCTTGCGGGAACTCTGGCGAAGCAGACGTGCGAACCTCACTAGCCCCGCTACTTGCAGAATTCGAAGCACCGGATGCTCTATACGGGTGCTCAGCTTGAAGCATTCGAATGTACATGTCCCAATCATTTCCAGCCTCGGGCTCATTTTCCTGGTGCAAGTCTGCGTGCGACTGGGCAGCAGTAGCTGGATGTTCGGGGGATGAGGAGTCCCGCCACGCATGCTGATTCCAATCTTGCAACATTGGCTGACTGGCCTCGCTGTGAGGATAGCCTGTCGAGCTGGAAGGATAACCTGCATGTTGAGGCGTCAAAAGGTTGGCATGGTCTTGAACTGGATAGGCATAATTTGGGGCGTGGGTGGAGCTCGACTGCGGATAGGGAGATTCCTGATGATGGGTGCCTTGCCAATGCTGAGGATTAGCGTACTGACTTTGTTGGGCTGAACTGAGATGAGACCCTTCAGGTAGCCGACCTTGGTGAACGGGATAAGGATTCGAGGATGAAGCCCCACCATGTGAAGGAGAGCGCTGGTTGTAAAAGTCGATAAAGCTATCCAGAGAATCCAGGTGAACCTCAGGTGGAGACCGGACTGGGGGGTAGAACGTTTGCGGACTTGGCCATTGAGCAGGTCCAGGACTTAGATGAGACCCTTCAGGTAGCTGAACTGGGTGGACGGTATGGGGATTGGAAGATGGAGCCCCACCATGTGCCGTAGCCAAAGGGTCAAAAAACTCGGAGAAGTGTTCCAGAGGCGAGAGGTGGTTCAAGGCTTCTTCAGCTGGAGACCGAACTGGAGTGTAGAGTGCAAAAGTCGTCTGGATCAAAAGAAAACAACTAAGCAGGAGAACGTAGAACGCCATGGCTGCTACTTGAAGCTGACTAGCAGGCAGCAAGAAACTCTCGCAGCGCTGTAAGGAAGGGGAAATCGGTCCAAGCCTCACCGCAGAGTGTTGAGGGAGGAGTCGTAGAGGGAGCGACTTTGCACGCTATTTATCCTTTCTTCACGGAGCCATCGGTTGGTCTTTTTGTTTCCATCTTCGCTCGTCTCTCGGCGCCTTTCGGACTCTTTGTCCCACCCCGCCCGCTAATGGTGGGATGATCAAACCCACCACAACATCATTGTGGCAAAGCGCATCTTTGGGTGTCCTCTCCGTTGTGACTTCTTGGTGACCCTCTTGCGTCACTTTTGTTGCCGCGATCCGATGAAATCCGAGTCTTTTCAGTTTAATACAGCTTTTCTTCGACAACGGTCGACCCTCGGTATCAGCTACGAACACGGAGATCAAGGACTTGCGTAAAGGGAACATGTTCTTTTCCGGAAGAAAGCAGTGGGGCTCGTCGCAGTTGACGGCGGCGACAGGAGGTCCTCTGATGAAGTGGAACCACTGCAAGCCCGGAGGCCACCGTTTGCATCAGATTGTTTGCCAGCCACATAGTCAATCTGCACAGCCATGCCCACACATAATGTACACTTTTGCGGCTTGGCTTCGCAGCTTCATAGGTGGGTCCGCAAACACATCAACGGCATTTTGCAGATGCAAAGCATCAGCTTCGTATTAATGCAACCTCTATCATGATCAATGTCTGAAGTGGGACCAACCAAGGGAATCTGCATGCAGCAAAAAAACAAGGATGGACCGACGTCTACCTCCTCGGTAAGATACAACTGCGGGATGCTCCCTACTGGAGCGCATTTGCGGTCATAAAACAGTCGTGGTCAAAGGAGTCGTGCTCATATGTACATTTTGCGTTGATGGGCATCGGATGCTAACGCGTGTCCCGATCTGAACGGACTGAGGTTGTCTACAGTGCTGACTGCAACGCCAATACAACTTTATTGGTGCAAGGGGAGAAATGGGCTAGTGCCACTGCGAATCCACAAAGAAGTAGCCTCTTTCATCTGCGTTTCGGCATAGTGGATACGTGGGTAAGCACGGCAGGCTGCAGCAATGCCGAGAACCAAAAGATGCCACCACGTTCTAAATCGCATAGGATCGAAAAGCTCGAGGTGACATCTTTTGGGACCGAGGCGCACCTTTACTGTGAAGACTTTGTCGTGCATGCTCAGCAGCATATGATCGTCCCGCCATTTGTGGGTTGTCGAACAGGAGTAACAACATACTTACTGCACAAGTTACGGGACCACCGTACGCCCTTGAGCAAAGAATGGTCCACGTTGCCCCCAAATTGCAATTCAGCCTTCGCCTTCATACAGCCCACAACCCACACATTTTGCCCATTTTGAGTCGTCCGAAAAGAAGCAAACAAATCCACAGTACTCTCCTTTTGCGGCTTGTAGTGTGGAGACCATATGGTCGACTCAAGTTTTTTCTTTCGTCTGCACTGACTCAAGGTTGTGGAATGGCCTCTCTCTGCTTTGACATTGTTGAAGTTGCGTTGTGGCTGCAGTCATCGCGCTGAAGGTCTCACTGGGGACCGATCAGGAGAGCCCAACAATGGACAAGAATGGGACCGATGATGCTCAGCTGTAGGCACTTCTGTACTTGAAGCATTGCGCTCACAGGCAGTCGTGTTTAGAAGCAGACAACCATCACAACAGGTGCTGCATGCAACCGCAACCGCAATGCACAAAGAGAGCATGCCCAAGATGCGAAAGGAGAGGCGGGTAAACATATGCCCTGCCACAGAACTTTTTTTGACGTTTTAAAGCTTCGATGGACCGTGCGTGTGTGGGTTTCCCCACACACGGCGTTTTTAAGCACATGTCCAAGTTGGCAAGCGCTGCTTTGATCCGAACGTTTAGCTAGGTCTTTGCGTGATAAGCGAGGTTGGAACTGCGCGGCATTCTAGTGTAGCGCTTGCATCACATGCAATCTATTGTACTGTATGCTTGTTCCCGTACCTCGTTGCCAAAACTGCGGTCGCTCTGGTTGTAGGCTGCAGAGAAAGAACACAAAAGAGGTCATGAGACCTTAGATTTGATCTTGGTGCGTGACCTCCATCTCATCTTTTTTGATGAGGTACCTCACCTGTCACCGGCATCAGACGTGTGCATGTGTGTGATTCTTTTGTTGAGATAGAGTTCCAACCCCTCACCCGTACCTCGTCTATTCCTGCGCTTTGGATGACGGGCATGCCTATAAAATATGGCCCTTTCGAGCAGAAGTTCTTCACCTTCCCCAATCCCTATTCACAAACAAAAACGACAACCTTTTCTACACCAAAAGCCAAACCCACACACTCTCCAAACATGGCTTCGATCCAAGAGACACTTCAAAAGGCACTCGACGCAGCCACAGCCGACATTTCGCAGCCTATGGCCGTTCCAGGTGCAGTCATGTACATCGCCGACAGATCGGGCAACGAGATCGCCTGGGCA